CAATTATATAAAAGATTTAATAATTCCCATTGTAGCATCAAGAACACAATATTCAGCGAAGGGACTCTTTTCAACGAATTTATTATCAATCGTGTATATATGGTTTTTAAGAAATTATATCCGGTGAGGGGATTAGGTCAAATGCTGTGAATACATGAAATAATAATAGTATGAAATGCCATTAAAACATTTGTGTTTATTATTTTTTTATTTCCTTCGCGTTCCCAGTGGAACATAGGGATTCAAGCTAGTGGCTTGAAGTTTCTGTAGCAGTATTTAATTTTACAGGGTGGGGTTGCTAGCCTTATGCCCAACCTTTCCTCTTTACCAGTCTTATTACTGGTTTAGCGAGGTAAAGGAGGGAGTCGGCCGGGGATTGAACCCCAGACCATGTACATGGTGAGCGTCCTTACCGCTGTGCCACCCACGCACATTTATGATTATAATCATAGTTTAATGTCAAGTGGCAAAATAATTAATGTCATATATAGAATAATATATAAGATGGGTGCATAGATTTTGGAAAGGGGTACATAATTATGAGATTAGTAGGCGAATATAAAATGGTACATAACATGGTGTGAAATTTCATAAGATAGAATTTAATATTGTAAAAATAAAAATATAAAAATTAATGATTTTGGGTTTAGAATGACAAGTATGTCAAGTGGAAAGGATGCAGAGTGAGAATAGTAATAATAATAATCGTAGTAATAAGGAAAAGGTACATAGAATAACTACATAAATAGATGTCTATCCCTCTACAGCCAAGGCAGAAGTAGGGATTTGTACGTACTTCTTTTGTACACAAAGGTTTGGCTTAAAGTCATGAATTGCCAAGTCCTCAGCTGTCTTTAGAGGTCTGTAACGAAGAAAACGCTGGAAGTCAGCATGGATTCTATATATGGTCATGGTCAGGGTTGGCAGAGTGACAGAAGTCGATCAGGTGTTCCAGAATAGAGCTTCTCACACACTTCCTTTCTAACTTGTAAATCCATGCTGGGATATGTTCTCGTATCCGTGTGGAAAACCTCTCTTGAAAAGAGTCTCTTCGCTAAATATTGTGTTCTTAATATAAAAGATTGCAATAAAGAAGAAACAGGGAGTAGAACTATATAAAGCAAGTTATTAAACCATGTGATATGACCAGTAAATTGTGCTGGAAACATCATACAGCTGTTAATACTGTATTGCTATTTGTTATTTGTCAAATAGACTTATCTGATATGGACTTATATTCTACCACAGTACCCATATTCTCCACTTACATTAATAATAGTTTATTTTCTGCTTATAAAACTGTTGAAATGCACTCATATCTGGAGACCAGTTCAATTAACTTTGTGTGGTAGTTAAATGGGAGTATTCTTCCACGAACAATATCATTATTACTTTAAACAAATTTGTATTCTTTATTAAAATAATAGATGAATTTATTATTTTGTTTGTTTTTTAATTCCTGTACGTTCCCAATGGAACATAGGGCTTCAAGCTAGAGGCTTAGAATTTCGGTAGCAGCAGTGGTTATTTCCACGGGATGGGCTGCTGGCCTCATGCTCAACTTTCCTCTTTACCAGTCTTATTACTGGACTAGCGAGGTGAAGGAGTGTGTCAGCCGGGGGTCGAACCCTGGACCACATGCGTGATCGGCGAGCATTCTACCGCTGTGCCACCGACATTATTTTGTGTTAGATTTAATTCTCATCAGCCTTCTTTTCTGATAAATCAAGTTTGCATTTAAAATCTGGAAACCTGTTTTATTGTAGCTACACATAAATGTGAAGTTTGCTTATTCCTACTAATTATTAAAAAATTAAATTTTAATTAAATTTTTATTTAGAGGTTTCAGGTAGATTTTTTTCCTATTATTTCTTTTGTCAGTTTCTTGTACAACATAGAAATCACTGGTATTCTTAGGGAAAGAATAACTTATATTTGATTTTTGGTCTTAGGGCTTGTCTTGTCTTCTTTTCCCATATTGATTTTACTGTAGGAAAAAATAGTCCATTCATTCTGTTTACTTGAAGCTTATTGGTTGTAATATTTAATTGACAGGTGAATGCTTTTCCTATTTTGGTTCTTATAATTCACTAATTGAATACTTTTGTTACTATTATCTTTTTGACTTCACCTTCGGATAACGTGTGATATTTTGGATTTTTAGCGCAATGACGCTTAAAGGCTAATAGATGCTTTCCACTTATCCTGTTCTAACTCTGAATTGAAGTCTGTGCTTTTTACTATAAATACTTGGTTTATTATCATTATTTAATCTTTTGGTTCCCGAATGAAACGTAGGGCTTCAGTAACACGTTTTCATTCTATTCTGCTCTCTCCAGTCCTTTTAAGCTACTCACGCGATTGCCCATAGGCTTTCATCTCTTCCTCACATGATCCTCTTCATGTCACCCTCAGATGCCAAACTCCTTGTTTCCTATTTGGATTCGACTCGAAGGTCTGGTGCGTGACATCACCCACGGTCTTCTCGGCGTATGTCTAATCCCTCTCCATATCTTTCTGCATATTTGTTGGATGTTAGGTTCTTGGGTGATTCATTGCCAGAGTTTCCTGTTGCTTATCCTTCCCGGACGGCCACTTGGTCCTCATTATCGAGATAATGAAGGCAGCTGTTGGTGGAATTCTGCAGTAGACTTTTCTAAATGGTTTTTGTGATATGCCAAGTCTCTGGAATATTTGTATCGTTTTTATTAGTTATTTTTCCACAACTCATCAAATCACTCATGTCTGTAAAGAAAGTTATTGAATATTTTACTCATATTGTAATGACTAAGTAATCCTACCTATATGGAACCTAATATCTTCCTTTTGTAATCAACTGTCGAAGTAATCGGTATCATGAAAAAAATTAGTAATGAAAAACATTCACCCAGTTTCATTTTGTTCAGTGCTCAGTTCTTATATTAGTGTATGAGCAATATTGAGATAAGGTTTTGAGTACTGGGTGAAGAGGATGAATCAATAGACGAGGCGGTGCAGTTATATCGATGGAGATGTTTAAGACATGTGTTGTGCATACCAATCAATCGCCTTCCTCGACGGGTAGTGTAAGCTGACACAGGGTCAGGTTGGAAAAGAGCCAGTGGTGGTCAAACGAAAACATGACTTCATCAGTCAGTGAAATCCACAACAGTTAGTTTAAGCCACGTAGGAAGGTGTAGACTTCCTAGTTGGGGTCCTAGTGACGGTAAACACAAATGGCTGGAGACAGTTGGTGATATGGCTGAAAATCGTTCTCAATGGCGCAGATGCATATACTCCTCATAACTTTTAACACCCAATAAAACTACATTGTTCTTCGGTACTACTATTCTTCTTGCCTCATATCCCTGTTTACTGCCTCTGTTTTACATTTCTTTTTACTTTCTTCTCTTGTTTTGTGTGCTGAGTGAAGTGTAGAGACTCGAACTGCTACACCTGGGTGCAAAGTTCTACGTTGAAACCAGTCAGTCAGTTATATTAGTGTGTATGAACGAAATACTTTTTTCCTAGTGTGTGGTGTATTTACTCAACATTAATAGGAATGGATGTTAAGCTGATAGATGAACACTGGATGAATGGTCTATTTGTGTCAAACAGGAAATTTATTGTTACATACTACCATAACTTATTGCAAGTCACTCACTTCGTTACCTCACTTGGGTTTCATAATCATAAACCCAGATTAGTGATCTTCTAGCTGTTTGTGCATGAAATATTTTGAGAAAGACTAACCACTTACATTTCATATTACATGTTCCAGAGGTATCATCATTTATTTTCTAGGTATAATATGGTCAGCAATATTGAAGGTAAGCGTAGATTGTTAGGTAACGAAGGAAAGTTAGTCGATGAGTTTGTGACTATCTATGACATCTTTCTATGAAATCGTTCTCAATAGGTAAATGGATTCAACTTTCGTAAAGTCGTAAATTCGTTTAATCTTTATTATTCTCCAAGTAATTATACTTTCTGTTGCATATTTCGCTTACAATAGTTTCGTTGAATTTCTTTTCTCCACCGTTATATGAGCTTTTATGAAGTGTGATAACTTGAACTGCTGCAACTTTTGTGCAGAGTGCTACATTGAAAACAGTTGCCCATTTGTGTTTATTTTCAAAATTAGACAGTTTTCTCGAACTGTTATGAAGTTTCTAAACGTATACGCCTGTATGGGTTCATACATCACACAGTGTAACAATATTTTTACTTAGTGGCATCTAAGAACCCGGTTTATCACGTCTTTTATTGTTATTATTCTCTTAGGTCGTGAGAAAAACATCTCTACTTACTTCTGCATATTTATTGGGTGACAAGTTCTTGGTTGATTCATTGCTATGGTTCATTAATATTTATCCTTTCAGACAGGCGATTCAGTCTTCATTACCGATCCAATAAAGGAAACTGTTGGAAATGATTTCCATGACGTGCCAAGTCTCTAAATCATACAGAAGCACTGATGTGACATTATTGTTTGTGTAGTAGATTCCCAAAGGGATTTCAGAGTAATGAAGGCCTGTCTTGCCTTTCCAATCCTGGCTTCGACATCCTCATTTGTACCGCTTGTAGTTGAAGTGATACTGCCTAGATAAGTGTAGTCAAATCAAATGTGATCTCACAACCTTAAAATTTGGTTTTATGCATTTTTTTAAAAAAAATTCTACCTTTTCGTTTTTGGTACGTGTACTTAAATTTTTAAGCTATAAGGAAAAAGTAATCGCTCATTTTTCATCACTACCAGCCAAAACTGAAGTCAAAGATTAATTAGGATTTGAAATAATCAACTTACATATTATCTGTTTAAAGAATAGCCTGGTAAACAGTGTTGTGTATCTGTGTAACAGAACTATCTAAACTACACAGGGCTTAAATTCTTTTCCATTATGTAAATAAAATATCTAGTTGGTTTTAAATTATTTGAGAAAACTCCACTCATTTATTTGGCTTTCTGATAAGTGTAGAAGCTTCTAAAGTGTCTTCTGCTTTGTTTCTTTACATTTTAGTTTATTATGATGATGATAATCCATATGCAAGACCACCTGAATTATTTACAACACGTTTTGTACCAACAAAGAAAAGTGTTACTCATTGTGGGCAACCATCTCAAACATCCATTTCACATGGTAGTCATCATATCGTAGAAGATATGAAAACTGTTCATAATCAGAATTGCATTCCAAAATCTGGTTATTATATTCCCCTGGAACAAAAGAATCATACACATGAAAATTGGTGGAATACTCCAGTATGTTATCAATCACAGCCTACTTCTACAGAAACAAATCATACTCCGGTATCTTGTAATCTGAATTCTGGTTATCCATTGCACATGATAATTCCCAGTGAAGGTGTACATATTCATGGTAAATTTGATCAAAACCACTTACCAGGTTAGTAAAGGGCTTTATTGTAATCATAAGCTTTTGATATATACATAAAGTATAACTATTAATAATTAAATTATATACTTTTTAATGTGTTACACTTGTGATAGCAAAAGCTTCAAGATGTAATTTAGAAATGTCTAATCTAATAAAAGCCAAAGATGTAACCATTTGGAATTCAGATGCACAACAATTTACAGGTTTCTAGAGCGAGTCGCTGTTATCTGAACCGAAGTCAAAGGGACCTTCTGTTATGAACAAAAATGAAACAGCCGTAGCTCAATAGTTGTCATCTCCTTTCGGGCTACATTATGAAAGTCTGGTAAATATCTTTAGTCACTTATATTCAAGATAAAGACTACAAACAACTGAGAATCTCATTTTCCTGGAGGTACTGTCTAGACGAAAGCACGATAGTTCCTTAAGAAAGTCAACTTACAAGAGAAAAAACGTGCATATTTTGAAGGCTCACTATCAACAGGCCGAAAAGGTGGGAAAAATTCTCACAGTTTGTTTAGTAAGTGAGGATTTGGAATTACTTAGAAACGTGCCTGTTGAAAATTACCATACTTCAAGGTCGGTTGACAGGATCACGAAATCTAAACCATCTATTAAAGAATGTGAGAAAAAGCTGCTGCCTTTGATTACTTTAAGTTTACCAATTTAAGTGCTGATGAGAATTTACTAAACGAATTCACCTGTGGAGACTATATTAGGTTTTCCAATCGTTCTCTAACTGATGTCAGCTCATGATGGAATCCTCCGATCAATCAAACAAAATCCCTACAAAAAACCAATACTTGCAGACTATATTCCCCAGTTTTCTGCAAAACAGTTTAGATAAATTAATTGCTTCATTTTCAAGTATATGATTAATCTGTTTCACTAAAAATATACTTTCCTAATCTATTGCCAAAATCAATTACTTCAAGATTGAAATGGATGACAAATTCAAATCAGTAACCTCTGGTTTACTAACCCAGATCATTTCCGATTGGGCTACAAGACCCAGTTTCTTCCCTAGTTATACGTTCCCTGTGAAACATAGACCATCAAGAGTACATCTCTATCTCATATTGCCGTCTACAGTCCTCTTTACCTGGGTCCCAAACTACCCATAAACTCTGACGTCTTCCTCACAGTTTCTTCCGTGTTACTTTCAGACGCCTTACTCGTCGTTCCCCATTCAAGGTGTACCCTATGGCCTGGCTGGCGATGTCTAGCTTCATATAAGTGGATGAACTTTTTTATACTTGTTATATAAGTGAAGTTTGTATAGCTGTCTGTTCACAATCATCGTCACACTGGATGCTTAGCTTGTTTTGTCTTAGGAATCCATTTAAAATCCTATTTCTTTTGAAGACTGTAAAGTGGTGACTCAAACAATATCAAGGTCATGTAGTTATATCCATAGTCTTTCAGGCTGGTAATCCAGGAGTGGCTGATCCGAAACTAATTACAATTTTGGTTGTCTTCTAAGTTATAATTTTCCGGAATATTTGAATAAAATAGATGTTATGCTATAGGAATGTATATCGTCCCTATGCATCTGCATTTTTGTAAATTATTACAAAACAACATAACTAGCCGTAATCGTTTAGTTCACAACTAAGTTGGAAAATAACTTTGTTAACTAACGTTATAACACTTTGGGATTTTTAACCACCGCAACTACTACTACGAGTAGAAGTAGTGTAGCATAGGGCTTCAAACTTGAGCTTTGAAGTCTTAGTAACAGTGGTTTTATTTACGGAGTGGGGTTGCTAGTCTCAAGCCCAACCTCCACTCTCTCTCTCTCCAGCCAACCACCGGTTAGGTGAGGTTTAGAAGTGACTTAACCGGGAATGGAACCTGGACCAGATGTGTGGTTGGCTAGCAGATATTCTTTGTGAGCCAATAAAATGAAAATGTCATGATGTCACTTGATGAAGTTATTTACCAATTACTTGGCCGATGATGGATGACTTCTAATAAGAAAATAATATTTTATAGAATTTCCTCAGTTACATTATCTCAATTCCCCCACAGTATCTAAAATGATCCATTTGGATTAAATCAATATGAATGCCGCAAAAGTGAAAATACGTACATTCAGACTTTCATTTACTTTTCTTTTGATATTATTTACCGAAGATTTATTGACACGGAATCTATTGATTAAGATATTTTCTACCTATTACTGACTGATTTCCAAGATGTATGGATGGTTTGTTTCATTCATAATATCTTAAAATGCTTTAATTGCTCCTGTTCAACTTTGATATTTAAAAATGATACATTTAAGAATAGACTTGGAGTTTTTTGATTTCCTTTTTTGTTGCCATCATTGGATCTACTATCGTGAATTTTCCCACATATACTCCAGTCAAATGATTTATGGTTTATGTGACTAATACAAACTTCTTTTTCATATAAATACATTTTTTTCTGCTTTCCTTATTTGTTTTGCTGTAATTTAATTTGTGACTTTCAATCGTAGAAAGCGTATTCCAATATTTTATACTTTGGACTTAGTAACTCCTCGTTCCCCTATTTTAAAAGGGGTGACAGTATGAAGTTAGTCATTATTTATGCAAAATAATATTCTGGTGTTAAATTACATGACACTGAATGAAAATCAAACTGTATATTGATTGTCTTATGTTTCAAAATGGTGCTACAAAAAGCAAAATATTCTAAGACACTGAATTACTGAAAAAAATTAATATGAAGTGTATGTAAGATGTTTTAAAAAAAACTGATGAACTTCGCTATTCATGTCCTCTTTTAAATATGTTAGATCTAGGCTTCGTGCCTGTTGGCACTCATCAGCAAGGAGTGGAGGAACTCATGTCCTCTCTGAGATTCGAACTCGCGTCATCCAGTGCTCCATTCATGAACGTTGCTATTGTGTTTTTCGGGATCACGATTGATTTCCTGTAGGACTGAAGTGGATACATTGATTGGTCACTGATGAGTAACCATTAAATGTTCTTTTTCACATATTAAATGTGAATGATTAGCCTTTGATCATGAAAGATTAGGAAACAATTGAGTAAACCAAGAATGTCTCATTTATCATAGATAAGGTTTCAGATTCTTAGTCTTATGTTATGCTAATTCTATGTAGTTCTACATGGAAAGAGAAAAATCGAATTTGTAACTTGAAAATCAGATCACAATTGCAACTCAGACAGTTCAAGGAGGTGAAATTTCACCACGGTTTCCTGTGGAAACCAAATTATTCAACTGTCTGAGCTGAGTCAGTTTCGGTACCCCTCTGGTGAGCTCGGCTCTAAATTGGCGAAAAGGTAGTCCAGTGTTTAGATCACCCTCACCTGACTAGCAAGCACTACTAGTTCATATGAGTGGTACACAACTACTTATCTCAATCATTCAGTAGTATATAGTTTTATGTGAGCTGATAAAAACTGAGATTTTGGAGGGATATTAAGAGCTGATGTGTTGTTTGCATACTGTGAGGAGTAATAAACATTGCTGATTGTGTTCTGTAGTTAAAAAAAGGTATTGTATTATGATTTAGCACTGATTATTGTAAATTTAAAATGTTGATCTGGAAATTCAATCAAAATCATTATTTTCACACTATATAAGCATTACATGTTAATTAGTGTCAACTTCCAAGGAAGCGTGTTTCATTAGGATAAAGACTTGGCCTTCAGTCAGTGTTTCTAGAATTCGAATCTCTACACATTTACTTCAGTTTGGGTAATTGTTCAGAGTACTAACAGCCGCATAAAAACCTGCTGCGGAGTGCTGTGGTCAAGCATCCAGTATCATCGTCCGCATAATTTTTAAAAATTCTACCAGAAAATATCCTACTCACACTAAACTACGTACTATCTTAGATTTTTTACATGAGCTACAAAATGTTTGATTCATATGTATATTTTAACACTTATCTGAAGCTTAAACACATACTACCTTTGATTTGCTGGAGGGTTTCATCATGAGCTGGTAACCAGAAGGTCCTGGGTTTGAACCCCAGTGGGTGCATTATGCTGAAGAATCCCAAACTCCTAGGTTTTGATTCTCTGACTTATGTCAGCTCATGGTGAAATCCGTCAACCAATCAAACAGAAAAACCCCTACAAAACTAATACCTGAAAAAACATACTGCCTTTACAGATTATTTTCTGATAATTAAGGACTAATTAATTGGCGACCTTTTTCACAGACCAACTTTTTCATTATGGTACTTCACTAATTTCTCATATAAACAATAAAGAGTGTTTCTAAAAGCCTTTGTCTATCATGACGACTAGCAAATTATAATTTGCTGATCTAATAAGTCTTTAATTATTAAGCTAACACACTTATCACAAAAACTGAGCACCATCCTATCACTGATGTCAAGAGTGAAGGGGCATTCAACAACCAACTTCCTATTAGCATATGTATCTTGTCAGTCGTTAAGTTTTAGAGGTGAGTCGCTGAAAACTAAGGAGAGTTGTACAGCTGTTTCGTTTTAGTTTGGATCTCTGCAGCATAATGCACCCATAGTTTTACCAGAGGTGGACTTTCAGGTTATCAGGAAAGCTGCTTAACTGTAAAATTACGTGGCTTGGATCGAGTGACCTATGAATTCCAACCTAAGCCAATTCACCACACAAACCCACTAATACCGAGTACCATCAGCGAGTATCTTCCCTCACACGCTATTCAGTCAATGGAATCACTTTGTAACCTGAAAGTTTCCGATCCTATCTCTGATGGTGTCGTGGTGCTCACTGCATTCATATTTCCGAGTTCTCCGTCTTTCAGTAGTACTTTAATTGATTTTCATTTGTGATAAAATGTAGCTTGATTTTTGCATGGGTTACTCATCAAAACTAAACAAGGGATATTATGATGCATAAATACTGTTGAGAAGAAAAAATATTGATTACTCTAGAAACTAGTAAATCGCCAGTGGGCCTTAATGTGATTTTATTGCTAACTAGTAATAATCAGCTATTTGTGTATGTAACCATTGAATAAGGCATATTTCTTGAATATTATGAACATTTCTTAATGGCTAGTAAATTCACATAACTTACTTCTAAGCTGGCTGTACTGTGTCTGAACCACTTTATTGTTAGCTTAAATAAAGAGACTGGTAGTTAAATAAATACTACTTGTTATTCTGTTTTGAGGTTAATTTCCATTCCCTGTTGATTGGTTATGCTGGGACGAAATGCTCAGTGTCTGCTTACATTTTGCCTCCTTGTACGGACATCTCGACGATGTCCGAGGACTAACGTGATGTTATTTTGGCTGGCGATGGCTAGCATTGGAATTCAGGATATGCATTTCGTCTTTTTAGGACTCGTCATCTGGGTGAAATGGAAACTAGCCTAAAAACAAATGACTGGTGCACGGTTCGAGTATCGGTGGAAGCACTACTGGCCACTGGCGTTGTAGGTGCATCCAGCCAATGAATTCCAAGTAGGATGAAGTGAGCATCGTGGATTCCACTGCCAGTCACCATCAACCAAATTGTTATATTTGGTACATATGTTATGTTAGATAGTTGTGTAACAACAGAAGACAAGGGCCAGGCAACAGATCGTTTATTAAGGAAATCAACACATTTATATATTTTCATGCACATTATTAAAGATTATCGTTAGCAGACAAACACAGTCTTCTGATTGGTTGTTTCTCACTGAAAGTTAATCTTTCATTTCTTTGTGGCTGTTTCTTGAATGTCAGATCATCCATATGCTAACTGTATCCGCCTACGCGAAGTCTGCTGTGTTTGGTTGTTGAATCAGTCTTTGTTCATATTTTCTCACAACCAATATTGTCCCAGTGGCTGAATGGTATAAGAGCTTGCCTTGTAGCCGGAAGGTCCTGGGTTCGAATCCAGTGGGTGTGTACTGCCGATGATTCCCAAACTAGGATGAAACAGCTGCCCAGTACTCCCTAGTTTTTTGTGCGTCAGTGGCATAGTGGTTGGGACGCTCACCGACCATGCACATGGTTCGCGGTTAGATCCGCGGCCACAGACGCACTCCTTTACCTCGCTAAGCCAGAAATACTGCTGGTAAAGAGGAAAGGTTGGGCATGAGGCTAGCAACCCATCCTGTAAAATAAACACTGCTTCAGAAACTTCAAGCCAATAACTTGGAGCCCTATGTTCCACTGGGGAACGTGAAGGGAAAAAAATATTGAGGAAGTAAACATTGACGTAAATTAATGTCTACCAATTTGGCTAGCAGCCAGCTCTCACCACAGTTGGAGGCAATCGGCAGGAAGCTTGTGCTGACTGAAGTATGTGTATTAGATACATACCTTAATTGTAGAAAATATTTAATCACCATATACAATGATGAAGAGCATTTCTAAGCAGTTTATTGTTTAATCACATAAAGTGGTCACTGAAAAGTAACCGTTTACTTTTGAGTGGTGACCAAATAGTTTTGATTAGTAAACTAAATAACTTGTCACTGTAGCGTGTTTATTTGGTATAAAGTGGTTGAAGACAGCTGGCAGTAACTTTTGTTAATTTTGTTTTATTTACTTGAGTCATTGATATCATGAATAAAGTGTTTTTTCTTGCAGTCTACATTCTAGCCTTACTTAAAGATTTGTTGCAATAATAACACATCGAATGAAACTCATTTTCTCAGCAAGAAAATGACATATATTATTTATGTCTTTTTAGGCGCTAACTTCATTCGATATAATCAAGTTATGTTACCAGCTACAGGCTACTGTGGAGAAGATCGTTATCCTGTTTCAAACCAAATTCCTCAACATACATCAGTAATTATTCCAACAAATCGAAATCATGAAGTTCCATTAATAAAGTCAGGGGCTTCTGGTGAACAGGTATCTAAACACTTGATATGGGAGAATACACAACCAAATGATAATAAACTAAACTCCCCGCTCAGAATGCGACAAGTCCTAGTGGACAACCCACACAATTCAAACACACACAGAATTCTAATAAAGAAGCTTCATTAAAGCACAGGAAGCTAATTTCTAGCAGACTAGAGTGTTTCGGTGGTCCAAGTTCCTCTAAATCTCGACAAATCCCTCAACATCAGAGTATTCCAAATGCTAATGATGGATTCTATCCTGATGATGTGAAAGGTATGTTCTTTAAATCAGCTGTTGCTGGTGTATTCGGTCTTGGCAGTAAAAAGCATAAAAAGTCACCAAAGGCATCGTCTGGAAAGCACGGATCTCCAGTCCTTGGCTCCAATGTACCATAAACTAAGAATTCATTATTATTAATAAATTATCACCCACTAAACAGAAAATATGCTTTCAAGGCATTTTGTCTCAGAATTTTCACTTAAAATATTACATAACCTGTAAGATTTTTCTCTAAGATACTTTTCTTTGTTTTGCTGTCAACCATCTGTCTGTTTACACATGTACCCACTGATTTCGTTTTTTCAGCAATTAAGCTGTTCTACTAT